ATTCTAGCCTAGTTTTTCTTTGTTTAATAGGTTGCTTGCTGAGTACTGTGTTGTTTAATACTCACCCCTTACTTCTACACTTGTAGGTTCTGAGCTCCGATCCGTGTGATTGCTCTACTTCTATTTCCAAGGCTTCTGAAGGTCGACTTTGAGAAGTAGCTGCTTGTCATCTCTACGGGCCCTCTTGTTTCTTATTTTATGTTTTTTGTTCTATTCCATAGATAAAGACATTGATACTTGTACCTATCTTTCAATTGTGTATTAATATTAGTGGTTTGTACACGTGACAATCATGTTTTGATTTATATTAGAATGACTAAGTTTTTGGCTCTTATGTTATTCTTATTCTACTTTCCGCTTTTATTTCGTGTTGTTGGGTTTGAGGCTGACGTTTTTTGGTGGGAATAGATGAGTGCCATCACGTCCAATTTTGGGTCATGACATTGAAGAAGGCAAAACAAAAAGAACTCATGTGTGAGAAAGATCAAATATACCACTTAATTTTTCGAAAATACCAAATGTACCTACATAGATTTTATTTTTTTAATAAAAAATTTAAAATGAAATTAATTTAATTTAAGTTTTTTACTTCCATTAGACGAAGATGGTATATTTGAGTCATTTATGTAATAATAGGAGTATATGTGAGCCCCTTTTGTAATGACCGGTATTTTTACTATGTATTGCAAAATTGATAGGTGTATCATGCCCTTTTACCTTAATTATTTTGGGATCGAGTTAAGTTTATCCTCTTTTAATCGAGTTTGGTACTTATTAGATTAAATATTAAAATATGGTTTAAAAAATTGTGAATTTACTATTAGAAAAAATAATTATGATCTTTTGATGGAAAAAAGTTATAAATATATGTCCTTTTATGAAATCTAACTTATGATGCAATTTAAATAGACGATATATAAAGGGAAAAAAGATAAATATACTCCCGAACGGACGTAAAAGGAATGCAGATAACCTCCATCATACTTTTGGATATTGGTGCCCTTACCGTCCAAAAACTATAACATATATACCCTTCACTCTAACGGAAGACTAAAATAGGGACACGTGGCACAAATCTTATCCGTCGATCCGATATTTAATAAATATCGGGTCGGTGAATAAGATTGCGACACGTGTATATCCGTTAGTATAAAAGGGTATATATGCTCTAGTTTTTGGACGGTAGGAGCACCAATGTCCCAAAAGTATGACGGAGGATATCTGCATACCATTTACGATAGTTTAGTGGTATATTTGTCCTTTTTCCCATATATAAATAACAAATCATATGTACTAATCTCAAACCAAATCTTTTGTGAGAGAAAAACAAAACACAACACAATTCTTATCTTGTCTTCACACTTTATATTCTTTAAAATTTCCCCTTATTTTTTTGTGATATCAGATTCTATGTGTCTTCACATGTACAGTCAACTTATTTTCTACTATATAAATAGACCACTTATATTTATTTTTCTCTATCTTTACTCATCAATCAAAAGGTATGTAAAACTTTCTCTCTTATATCACTACAAGAAAGTAGAGATATGACGACATTTATTTAGTGATATTTGAAAAAAATGTCAAGAAATAGAGATTTTCTTGACAATTATGAAAAAATGTCACAAAAATAATGATATTTAATTTAAATGTCATAAAAACAACGACATTTACCATAAAATGTCATATAAACAATGACATTTACCATGAAATGTCGTATAAACAACGATATTTGACGTAAAATATCGTAAAATTAGTGACATTTGGGAAAAATGTCATAAAATTATGACATTTGATGTAAATGTCGTAAAAACAACAACATTATATACAAATATCGTAAAAACAATGACATTTGGTAAAATAACGTTAAAAAGTTATGACACAAATGTCAAAAATATTTAGTTGCTAATATCGACATTTGCACCTAATATTAAAATCTAAATCTTTTTAAGAAATTTCTCACTCTTTGAATAAAACTATGGAAAATAAAATTTGATGTATAAATATAATGTAAATAATTATAATAAACTCTCTATCTTTTACTAATTAACTATTAAATAAGTCTTACTTGTAAGCTTAAATATAAATTAAAGAGCTACGTAATTTTATTTTGTTTTTTACATTATTTATAATAGGTAATGTTTTAGCCATAATTATTAGTTACATTTATAGAATTTGTAATGCAAGTAAAACAAAGTACAAGATATTTATAAAACAATAAAATTAAGGAAGACAATTAAGATCCCCAAAACCTAGCCCTATTTACATTATTTTCCACAGGAGCCGCAATACTCCTCTCCCATTTCCCCATCAACTTCCGAATGAGAAATAGTTTTAAACTATAAATCTTCTTTCTTTCCTTTCATTTTTATGTGATGAACTCATTATTGTTCTTGATCCTTACAGAAAACAATGAAAAGAAAGGAAAAAGATTTCTAGTTTCTTTCTCTTTATGCTTTTTGAATTTTTGGTCTTAATTTTTTCTGAATCAAAGTTTTAGTGTTTGTATATGTATTTATGTATTACGACTTTTGAATTATATAATTTTTTCGGCTAACAATCTAATAATTATATTTTTTTTCCAGGTTAACATAATAAAAAAGTTTGGTAGTTGGCCAAAAAAAAGTTATATAAATTTTAAACAAATCATTAGACACTCTGTTTCTTTATTATATTATATAGTTCTAATTTTATTAATGTGAACTTTTTGTGCAGGATTTTGTAGAAAGTGAGATCTATTATTTACAACAAATGCTTGGCTTGTGAAGAGATGATTCCATAAAGTTTTGTTTGCGGGAAATTATTCAACAAGCTAAGGAATTAATTCGTTAGAGTAATTTTAATTTAGATAGATGTTGGAATTGTTCTTCTTTTATTTTTAAGCTGGATAGATTTGAATTTTATTTTACACATAAAAAATTCTTTGATTTATTATTTAATTTGTTCAAAGTACTTGTAATATTATTACTTTTTTCTTTAGTTTAGATTTTAAAAATGTGTTTACATCACATATATTCCATGTTTGTAAAGTTTGGCATTTATGAATATACAAATTGAATATGAATATTTGTGTTATGTAAAAAATTGAATAGATTAATATTTTAATAAATTTGAAATCAACACTAATTGAAATGTTACAAAATTTTAACGTGACATTTATAAATGTCAGAAAACTTTTTTACCAACATTAATCTAAATGTCAAAAAATTTAACTGATATTTTTTATATGTCATTTATTTAATACCGTCATTAACCTAAATGTTTGGAAATTGAGTGACATTTTTGGTATATGTTGTAAATAAATGTTAATTTATTCTCGGCATTTTTTTGCATGTCATAAATAAATGTCGTTCATTTATTATCGACATTTTTGTATATGTCGTAACTAAATGTCGCTTAATAATTATCAACATTTTCTTAAGTGTCGAATAATTTACGACACTCAAATTTCTGACATTTGAAGTAAATGTAAACTAAATGTCGGAAAATGAATTTACAACATTTAAACAGCTTAATACGACATTTATATAGTGTCGTCGTATCTCTATTTTCTTGTAGTGTATATTTCTTTTCTCTTTGTTCTATTTTAGCTATTTCTTATATAAATTGATTGTGAACACAATAAATCAAATAGATTAACACTTGATTTTTTGTGTTTCTTTTGTAAATTTGTTTTATCAAATAGAAAGTTAGCAAAACAAAATGACAGATTCTGGGGAAGAACCTATTGAAGAATCATCAAATTCCCGAAGAGGATCAAAAAGGCATAGACAGTGCAACAAACACAGTATGGAACAAATCCAAAGACTTGAAGCGTAAGATAATTTTTTTTTAAAAAAAGAACTTTATCCTTCATATATGTTCAATTTTTAATTTTTTTTTGTTTAAAGAGATGATCTTATTTTCTTAAAATGCATCAGTGATAAATTTAAAATTCATTAGCGATAGAATAATTTATTTTTTGTATGTGTTTTTTGTGTATTAATTTATATTTAATTTTTATTGTTTTTCTGGTGTTGCTTTTTTCTTTTGCTCTCCATATGGGCATTCAAATTTAATAGAAGATATGTACTTTTGATTTCGCTTTCAATTTTTTTATTGAGTTGCTAAAATGGTTTTGAAATAGTTTATTCGGATGATTAATCTACCGTTTATATACAACTTTATAAATTATCGGTTTGTTCTTTATTATTCATTAATAACTTTAGCATAAGTAGATGAGTTTATTTAATTTCAATTTCTTTCTCATTTTTGCACCAAAAAAATAAACAATCTCTTTCTCATGATGTTCGATACCCCTTTTGAGGCTCGATAGATATAGATCTACGTCTAAAAAACTCTTTTAAAGGCCCAACTAATCCAGATCGCATAAAAATATTTACTTTAAGGTTCGACTAGACTAGATTTGTATTGAAAAGTCCCACTTTAGGATGTTTAGTTCAGATTCACATCAGAAAGTCTCACTTTGATGGATAAACCACTCCCTACGGAATGTGACAACTCTTGTCCTAGGACTCAACACGAGGCCTCTAGTTAAGTATTAAGGAGTACTTACTGCTCCTCAATCTTTGGAGAGTATCTGGTACTTGATCTAGGCTCGACTAATCAAAATTCAAGTGGGGAATTAAGTCCCATTTTAGGGTAAAACGTTCCTTAACAAGGAGGCTTTAGTTCTAATGCTCAAACTTGAGACCCTGTTTATGATGGAGAAATACTGTCAATCCACCATGCTTTTTATGACACATTTTTTTTTTTTTTTACTTTTTCATTTTTAGGTTTATTTTTTTAAAAATGATCAATAAAGTTTTTTTCCCTGAATTTTCAATGAAGATTCTTCAAGAACTGTCCGCTTCCAAATAAAAATCAACAAAACCAATTGGCTAGG